CTTGTTGAGTGGTTAGTTGCAGGGCCAACTTCCAGCCAGTCCAAAAAAAAAAAAAAATCCCCAACAAAGTGTCTGAAATGTATCTGGTCTCCATCTGAAATGAGAATGGAAAGAGTAGAAGGACTCTTATTCTGGGATTTAGGAGGTCTGAAATTTAAATGCAGGGCTCCAGAAAATGAGATGTTTGAATTAGATGGTATCCTGAGTTTATTTGAGTTCCAATTTCTATGTGTTTAAGGTCTGATATCCCCTGTACTGGTTGGCTGGTTGCAAACAGTTAAGGAAATGCTGTGAAGTTCCTTTAAGAAGATGGGGCACCGGGTAAGGAAAAGGCTATATATCAGAGCATAAAGGAGACAACTGTCTTTCTTATACAGGCAGCTGACCCTCTTCACATCCCCAAAAGTCCACATTGAAATTTAGCTATTTATTTTCTTCAGATTGTTTTAAAAAGCCAAAGAACATTGAAATACATCTTTTATGAAAAAAAAAAGAAAGTAACATGTGATGGAAAGCCCTTAAACTGGAAACCTAACCATGATAGGACCCTACTACTGACCCCCTTTATGATTTGGGGTATGTGCCCAAGACCATGTTTGGATAACAGATGCTTAAAAACCCTTCCTGATTCTAAAATTATTGATACCCAGTGGCAGCTACCTAATTTTAAGATGACCAAAATTTTATAGAGCATTCTTCATAATGTAAAAGGCTTTAAAACAATATTATTTTTAAAGCAATATTATTTTTTTAAAAAGCATATACACTAAAATGTGTGCAATCAGTAATATCCAACAGGAGCAATCCACTGTTCTGCTTTATTTATCACACACAAAAGAATTTTCCCACTTTTGATAAGAATTAAGTAAGATACACGGGTTTTGTATTATTTTATACTCATTTTCTTTAAATACTAGCTAAAATCTTTATTTTAGCAAACTGTTCTTTTGTTTTCACAACTAAAATAAGTTACCTCATCTTTAGGGAAAGATAACACAAAAAACCCTCAGTAAGTTGCTCAACTAAATAGCTTAGTAAAAATGATTGCTTTTATGAAGTCCCTGGGGAATGCCAAAAACAGACTTTGGGGCCAGAGCATGCAGCCCCATCAGATTGGACTGGAAAACACTCCAAACGG